GAACCAAGAGGCATGAGAAAAAGTGTGGCTTCTCCTGGAAACCCACCGTCACCCCAGAAGCTGAAATGAAGGCGTAGTGGGCAGCAGGAGCTGCTTTGCCCAAGCCCCTTGTGGTGCAGAGCCCCAGCAGAGAAGCCGATCAAAGGCAGGGGTCCCTGGCGAGGCTGACTTGCAGGAGGTGCTCTGCCCTCTCACAAGCACAGAGGATGCCAGGCTTCGTTGTTTGTGGCTCAGAACAGGCAGGGAGCAGCCCCTGCGGAGCAGCGGTGCTCTGGCTGCTGCCCTCACCTTGTCACAGCAACAGGGGAGGAGATGGGGACGGACCCGTGGCCAGAATCTCCTGGGCAGCCACCCTCCCAAGGACACGGTGCGTAGCCCGGTGGACCCCTCCGAGGGGAGACAGAGCAAGTCCCCATGGGCAGGAGGGAGGGCGGAGGTCTGTCCTCCGTGTGCGAGGCGGACAGGGCAAGGGGTCGCAGGCTGGGGCTGCCAGCAGGGAGATCCTGATGGACAGCAGGAACATCATAGGATTGCAAAGACAGGCAGACATCTCCAGGCCAGCTCCTTGGATTTGTGCTGCCCCGGCGCTGCCCTGGGTGACATTTTGACAGGCTTCTGGCTCATGCTTTCTGCCAGGAGTTGCAAACTGTAATTCCAAGGACTCCCAAGGATTCCAAGCACTACCAGGCCAGGTGACTGCCTGGGTGGGCAGCCGTAAGCTGGGCAGGCAGGTGGCTAGGAAATCCTTGCTTTGCTGGTTCCTACACTGCACTGCAGCTCTTCACCGTCCAGTTCCTTTTGGCTGCCTCCTGCTCTGCCCAGAGTTCAGGCCAGCCTAAGCTCTTTGCCATTAAAAAGAGACAGAAAAGCAAATATTTGCAGTCACTGAAGTGTCTCTTAAAACAGCAGAGGCTTTTCAGCTCACAATGAAGATGTGATTCAGCCTTCCCAAAGTGGAGAGAACCATCGCCCACCAGCTTCAGCGGCCCCCGGGCTGTCCCCATTGCCCGCTCAGGGCAGACAAGCGCAGCAGCAGCGGGTCCTGCAGGAGGGGAAGCATGGCAGTGCTCCGCCGGGGCGGGGGGCCCCCGTCACCTCCTGCGCGGTTTCGTACACCACTCGGTGTCTGGAGCTGCTGGTGCATTTTGCAGGGGGTGCTGCTGTCAGTGAATCCCAGGCTGCCAGTCTGAGCCTGCGAGCAGGGAGCCCCAGCGCTGCTGGGGTAAACCGTGCCGAGGGGAAGCTGACTCCAAAGGTTTGGGGTTCAGGGCGGTTTGGGACACACAGAACTGCCACAGTCAGGTCAGGTCATCTGCTGCACCTCAGAGACCCCTGAGCATCAGCAAGCCACTGGGAAGAGGACGGGCAACCCCAAAACACCACAGGCTGAGGGAAAGGAAGGTAATGGGGCCATGCAGCAAAAGCAGCCCCTTCCCCTGGGCTCAGGTGCATCCTCGCCGTGCCCCAGCAGCCCTGACTATGACCAGCTGCCAACCGGGGTCTTCTCCTGCCAACTGCCCTGGGTGCCCTCCCCACAGCTGGGGGCCATCCACCTCCCTGCCGTGGTGCCTGGCTCAGGGCGGGGGAACGCGGCGGGGGCACCAGGCAGCCCTGGCCCAGCCTGCGAGCCACAGCTTCACAGGTTTGGGAGATTTAACTTCAAGCTTCTTCATCCTTCCAAATTAAAAAGATGGCACAGAAGAGGCTTGTTGGGTTTTTCCCTTCCCTGACCCCACATCTTGAGAAAGTGCCAAAGACTGCAGAGGGTAATTGAAATGTAATGAAAACAGTTTAATCCATCTTAAAGAGAAAGCAGCTCACTGAGGATGTGGCAAAGAGCACGGTGGGCACCAGGGGCTGGGGGTGTCCTGCTGGCCCCACCAGCCCTGACCCAAGATGTGCCCAGTGGCCAGGCCCACGCTGCAGCTGGCCATCAAGTGGAGGGGTGCCTAGGGCAAGCAGGGCAGGCAGGAGGAGTGGGAATCTGTCAGCAGCCCTGCAAGAGCCCACAGGAGGAAAAGGGGGCAATAAACTCTCATCTGCCACATAGAAGCGAGGGCCCAGCCTTGGCAAGAGCACGCCTGCCTGGGAGAGGGGGAGCTCTCTGTCCTCCCCGGCTCCCTGCCTTCCCCGGTTCCCTGCCTTCCCACCCCTTTGGCTCCAGCCTCCCCAACACAAACTTCACTTTTCCTCCCTTCCCGCTCGGTCCCACAGCCCCTCAGTCCTGAGCAGGTCTAGCCCCCAGCCCCCCTCTTCCCTTGCAAGCCAGGCTTTCATCACATTGTGTTTATTTTAATTTCATTTCTTTAATTTCATTTCATTTGCCTATTTATTTCGAGTCCTAAGGCAGCCTTACTTTATTCTGGAGCCCGGTGAGCACAAAGCCAGGGATGCTGATGTGCTTTATGGTGAGGCAGTCACGGGGCTGAAGGCTCTCCCAGGAGTGCCCGGGAGATTTCTGCGTCAAATATTGATTGCCCTTTGGAGGAAAAGACGTATTTATTATCAATATCCAGAGACATCCCACTATAACCACATCAGTGCTGTGTGGTCTCCTTAGGGACTGTCTGGCTCCTGTCGTGTAATGCGACGGGAGAAGCTCAGTGTCCGTCAGAGCCGGGGTGGCCTCGGGCGGCTGAGCCCGGGCAAAGGACCTGGCTGGGGGTCTGGAGCCGAGGCATGGAAGGAAGGGAGAGAGGGGCTGCGGGCGTGCAGGGCTGAGCCTGGGCAGATCAGGGTGGGATTCAGGGAGGATTTGGGCTCCCTGCTACCTGCAGGGCTTCCCCTCCAAGATGGGCAGGGTCAAGCTTGCCCATTCGTGGCCATCTGGAATTTAGAGGACCAGACTGGGAGCAGGATTTGTGGAAGGGGGAGCGGGATTCTCCGTGTCAGAGAGCCCAGGCTGCGCTGCCTGCTGGCTGCAAACCACTGCTTTAAAAAGGCTGGCTTTGCTTTGCCAGCCCGCAGGGAGCAACAGGGTCAGATGGAGACCGTGCAAAACCCACCAAGCTATGGAACACACTGCACTTTTTCTTTTGGTTTTTTTGTGCTTCCAAACCATTACTTAAAGTCCAAGCTGCTTTTCACTATTAATCCATTTTGCCCTGTGCGAGGAGGGAAAGTGGCTCTGTCCGTTCCTACCATCCTGCAGTGACTGCTGACCCCGTGTCTTGCTGACTGGGCTGCCTGCAGGAGCACAGGCTCCTCGGGGACACCAGCCTCAACCTGTGGCCCAGCAGGGAGAACCCCGGAGCTCAGGCTCGCAGCTCTGCTCCTCAGGGACATGCCATTGCCCTCCTTGTTCTCTAGGAATAAGCAAATGGTGGTTTTCTTTCTCCCAAACTCGCTGGAGGCTCTGAGGGTCCAGGCGTTATCTCCCCTGCCAGGGGCAATTTGGAGAACACTGGGTCACCCCAGGGTTGGGAAATGGCTCTTCTGCACAGGCCCCCGTCGTCCCAGAGCAGCCCCTTCATTCGACTGAGGAGCAGCCGTCCAGCGATATGCACATCTATTGGGGCCCTGATTTTGCAAATGCAGTCTAGGCTCCCAGTTCTCCAGATTTTTTACACCCATAGGGGGCTTCAGTGCTTGCTGGTTGCCTTCAAGCTGCACTCAGACTAAAAGGAAAAGGAAATGGGAAACTAAAAGGGAAAAGGAAATAAGAACTAGTTTATACGCTGCATGATTTCAAATAGGTTTTAAGTATGGAAAATCAACACATTGATTGATCAACCTAACTCATCACTGATTTTGTTTAAGTAGCTCCCAAAAGTTTGTCTTTTTCCCCTGTATAACCCAGTGCAGACAAGGATCCCTCCAAGCCAAGCGGGATAGGATAAGTGCACCCAAGAAGCCATCAGTGAGGAGCTCCCCTGCCCCAAGGGGACCATCCCCGTTGGGCTGCCCCCCTTGCTGCCCCACAGGGTGCCCGTACCTGCTGCGTGGGCCACCCATGGCCAACCTCAGCCCATTGCTGTGGCAGAGGACCACGGTGAGGGCCAGCCGGGCTCAGAGGGTGACAGAGCTCCCCCAGGCGCGATGCAGCAAGGCAGGGAAGATCAGCCACGAATGGCTGCTCAGGGCAGGCTCTGAGCCTTCAGAAAGACCTCTGCTCTCACTGCAGCGGCTGCAAGTTTCCTCTGGGGTAAAACATGCCATAAACCAGGGTGCTTGTTGGAGCAGAGATGTCCGACTTCATGTGGCATTAGCGCAGCTGCACGCAACACACAGAGCAGGGCTGCCAGCCCCTTCCAAGATCCCATAGCTGCAGAAACACAAAGCATAATGTGCAAGGTGGGCTGCTCAGCCTCAGACCTCCCTTGGCTCAGGCAGGGCCTGCGCACGGCGTTTGACAGCCGGTTTTCCTCCGGCCCCCAGCACGCATGGGGCAGGAGCAGTGATCTGCAGGCAGCGCCCCTGCTAGCCTTTGCTAGGCTGGCTGGGGAAGGGGTTCTGTTAAATAAACATGTGCAGAGACCAGAAAAAAAGCAGCGGCATTATTTAAGCAGCCCACAGTTGAGCACTGGGACCCACAAGCACTTAAACTGCAGCTAAAAAGGGTGAAACCTTCCCCTCCGCTTCTCCTGCCCCCATCCTCTCCAGTCTCTGGTCTCATGCCCCTGCTCCTCCCCTGCTGCCACATCATCTCCCTCCCAACCCGCTTCTCTCCTGCATCCCTTAACCTTGGGGGCATTTGCTTTTAGAGCTGGGACAGCCCTTGCAAGGACACCCCTGTGGGGAGTGGGCTGCCAGGGAGGTCTTGGCAGGCTCTGAGCATCTCTCCTCTTCCTCCAGGTGCGGGGAAGTCTGCGGAGGAGCGGGGCCAGCGCTCCTGCAAGGGCTCTGCTGCACCATCCCTGAGCAATGCTCTAGGAGACCCAGAGACCATGAAGGGCTTAGGAGATAACAGAAGCCGCCACCTCTCTGATAACCTGGACTCCCCTCAGGACTCTCTGTATGCCCCCCAGGACAGGAACCCTTATCTCCTCAGCCCCACCGACTCCTTCACCATGGACCCCCGATTCCCAGCCCAGAATACCATCCATGGCGACTGTCTCCTTCCGCTCAACAACCAGATCTCCAACAGCAGCACTTTCCCCCGCATCCATTACAACTCCCACTTCGAGGTCCCTGATGACAACCCTTTTCCGAGCCATGCCCAAGCTACTAAAATCAACCGCCTGCCTGCAAACCTCCTTGACCAGTTTGAGAAGCAGCTGCCAATCCACAGAGACGGCTTCAGCACCCTCCAGTTTCAGAGGAGTGATGCGAAGCACCGGAGCGAGAGCCCCGGGCGCATCCGGCACCTTGTCCACTCTGTCCAGAAGCTATTCGCCAAGTCCCAGTCTCTGGAGGGCCCCACCAAAGGCAATGTGAATGGCAAGAAGGGGGCAGATGACTCCAAGCAAAACCGGAGGAGCAAGAGCAAAGACCGAGCGAAGACCTCCGAGCCCAAGCGCAGGACCAGATCCAACATATCAGGCTGGTGGAGCTCAGATGACAACCTGGACAGTGATACCTGCAGCTACCGCAACCCAATGGGCCTGATGACACTGGGCCGGCAGCCGGACCACAGCCAGCCCAAGTATTTCATGCACGCTTACAATACCATCAGCGAGCACATGTTGAAATCCTCCAAGAGCAATAATGACCTCAAGGTCACCCCTTGCACCAATATCCCCATCAACAATGACTCCAACTACATTAAGAGGGGCTCCTGGTCCACACTGACACTCAGCCATGCCCGGGAAGTGTGCCAGAAGGCCTCCGCCACGATTGACAAAGCCTTGCTGAAGTCCAAGTCCTGCCATCAAGACTTGGCCTACCATTACCTGCAGGTGGGTGCAGCGGAGGTGTTATGGCTTGCTCCACACAGGCAGAGTGCAGGGAGAGAGGGGACACCCTCTTGGTAGGCGCCCTATTGCCCCATAGACCTTATCAAACAGCTCCAGATGGTTCAGCTGCCACCTCAAGCCACCTTGCCAGGGGAGGGCTGGGGGGGTTAAAATCAGCAAGGCCCCGGGGACAGACCACCACACCTCCTGCGGGGACACTGATGGGGTCCATCTCGCCGGCAGCCGGACCACAGCCAGCCCAAGTATTTCATGCACGCTTACAATACCATCAGCGAGCACATGTTGAAATCCTCCAAGAGCAATAATGACCTCAAGGTCACCCCTTGCACCAATATCCCCATCAACAATGACTCCAACTACATTAAGAGGGGCTCCTGGTCCACACTGACACTCAGCCATGCCCGGGAAGTGTGCCAGAAGGCCTCCGCCACGATTGACAAAGCCTTGCTGAAGTCCAAGTCCTGCCATCAAGACTTGGCCTACCATTACCTGCAGGTGGGTGCAGCGGAGGTGTTATGGCTTGCTCCACACAGGCAGAGTGCAGGGAGAGAGGGGACACCCTCTTGGTAGGCGCCCTATTGCCCCATAGACCTTATCAAACAGCTCCAGATGGTTCAGCTGCCACCTCAAGCCACCTTGCCAGGGGAGGGCTGGGGGGGTTAAAATCAGCAAGGCCCCGGGGACAGACCACCACACCTCCTGCGGGGACACTGATGGGGTCCATCTCCCCCAGCTGCAGTGCCGCCCCGGGCCCTCCAGCCCCTCTGCTGGACCACAGCAGCACGGGGAGGAGGTGATGTGCCCCGACCACAGCCTCGGCCCCCTCTGCTGTGGTCTCCATCCACTGCAGGACCCCAGCATGCCCCCACTGCCCACCCAGACCCTGCAGACACCGCGGCGGGGTGAGCTCTCGGGCAGCCAGGCACACATGTGTGTTCCTGCTCGGTGCCCAGGAGCTGGGCATGCCGAGGGGCTGCAGCTCATGTCCCACCCACACACAGCTCCCTGGCCCCCAGCCAAGCACTGCCACCATCCCAGGATCTGAAGGTCACCAGTAATAACTGATGCTTAACCCCTTATATCCACGCATCGCAAGGATGTGCCGGCGTGCCCAGTAAGCCCGGCTCTACAGAGCTTCCCTGGAGCACTGGTAGGACCTGCAGCTCTGCGGGGCATGGCTGCCTTTGCCGCTCGCCCGCCCACGGGAAGGTGCCATGGTGCCATGGGGCAGCGCCAGCCACCCTGCTTGCATGGCAGAAGCCTGCATGGCTAATGCTGGTTTGAACCCCCCCCCCGCCCCACCACCAAGAGCACCAGGTCACTGCGGCCATTTCAAAAAGAAACCCTTGAAGAACATAAACCTGGTTGAGCCCTAGAGAGAGGAATGAAGATAAATAAGCCAGGCCTGGATGGGGGGAGGAGGGGACGAGTCCATGTGTGTAAATCTCCAGCATCCCTTTCCATGCAAAGGTGTCGTGGGCTCCCCCAGCTGCAGCCAGTGGGCTTAGAGGCTTTAAAGAGCAACGAATGCATTATTGAGGCACACTCCGCTTCCGATACCTCGCTGGCCACGGCACAAATCAAATTTGAGAGGGGCTTATTGCATCAGGAACGTCACCAGAAAAAATGTTCTCGGCCTGGTTTCTTTCTCTTTGCCCCCCCTTTCAGTTAAGCATTAGGCGGTTAATGAGCTGCAGACAAAATATCCACCGGCACTGCTCCCCCTCCGGGCATCGACAGCCCCGGGTGCCGAATGCGACCCCCACAGCCCCTCACCTCCCAGGGTTTGGCTACGGCCAGGGGTACGAGACTGCCCTGCTCGTTGTTCCCCACCCATGTAATGAGCCTCCGTTTCTCGACAGCCTGACGGAGGGCTGTGGGCACAGCTGGGTGGCGTGAG